GGCAAAAGTCAGCTGCTAACATACAAGAAAGATAAAATGAACAGTGAGCAACATGAAATCTCTTGAAGGCTGAAAAGGAAAACAGTCTAGCCAGATATGCTCTGAGGTGAGACGAAATGTTCACTGGTATCAGACATGGCACTGTAGCATGGCATGGAAAGAAAGTTGTCAGGGCAGGAAGGGAGAGATGAAACAGCAAAGCAATGTAAGGCAAGGCTGGAGTGATTGGTGGGTCCAAGCTGACTTTCATCTGACAGTAGGTAGCATGAAGCTGGGTGAATCTTTGTTAAATATTAAATGAAACATAGATCAGATCTTTAGGAGCAAAAGACAAGGAGATCAAGGGTGGTTCTGAAACACTGAAATGATGGCAGACAGCATTGTCTGTAAGTCTTGTCTCTGCTTGTTTACTAGCAATGCAAAATTAAATAGCTCTCTACAAAACTGACAAGAAGATGCCAGAAATGTATCCTCAAAGGTGAATTCCAGTGAAAAGGGATCCATAAAAAAACAGGACATCAAGGGAAGTGCCCTGGAATAATATATGGCATCCTCTAGGATGCTCTTGGTCATTAAAATCAATTGTAGAGGTATGTCATCCAAGGCATTACTGAGCTACCATCCATCAGCTGAGTTGGCGTGTCATTTTATAATGTTCACCTCAACCAAAACACCTTGAATTTTGGCTTAAGCTATTATATTGTACTTCATACCTGGGTCTGACTCATAGTGCACATAGAGTTGGGTACCAGGGCTCAGTCAGATTTTGGCCATTACACTATGGTGAAGTGATCATCATAGTGCACCTGATGGCCCGTCATCAAACTAGGCATGAAATTACCTCAGTCATTTCACTCATCATTTTAAGCCATTTCCAACTCTTGTCTATTGCCAAAGGTTTCGGCTCAGTCATTTGTAAAGGAGAATAAATCACTCATAGATGAGCATAGCATTGTGTACAGTCTGAACTGAAATGGACTTTTAGCTGAAGCAGTCCAACAAGAATAGGTCTGACCAGGGCTTTTCTACCCATGCTGTGAATTCTGCTTCTAAATACACATAGAGTTTTATTATTCAGATTTGCTGATCTCATGTTTCCCACCAGAATTTAATGTACTTAATATTTAAAACTGTACTCGGACTACTTTCTGCAAATGGCTAATAAACTTGCAAGAGCCTACAAGTGCATCTAAAGTCTGAGGCTGAGGAATGAGTCAGATAGCCTGCTAAACAGAGAGGCCAGACCTTGAATCCCTACTCTATCAGCAAAGAGAGGCACCCCATGGGAAACCATTTGACTCCAGTCCTTACTGTATGCAGTTGGCTGTATAGGAAAATTGAGCTTTGTAGAATGCAGAGAAAGGGATTCAAGTTTGCCAGTGCTCTCCTGGACAGCTTTTGCAGCTCCCAAAACAATTCTGTGATTCTGTGAAAGCCACTGTTTTATTGAAGCCAAAGTGCTTCTCATGCATCCTTTCTGATAGGAAGATGTTTAAGTCGATTCTCTGATTAGGTCAACAGAAAGAAACCTGAATCAAACGTCAGCTGTTTGTTGTTCCAGTTTCTGAAGATAGAGAAGGTTTTTGGAAATCCAAAATTCTCCTGATCATGATTCCTGAGGTAATAACCAATTATCTGTGGAAGGAAAGCAAAAGAAAACCACAAGTTTAGACTTGTTGGATTTTTTATTTCAGTTTGAGTCTTGTAAATATTTTTGAGAGAATTCGTAAGAGAAAAAGGAAAAAGAAAAAAAAAAAAAAGGCAAGGGGAAGATTCTGTCCCTTTTCTTACAGGTAGCAAACAAAGAAAGAAGGGCACAAGCTAGAATACAGAAATCAAATGATATGGTTAAGAATATGACAGCAGAAAAGAGCCGAACCTCTTCAGGTCTCAGTACAGAAATGCAAGGTCTAGAGTCCAAGAACTCAAAGCTAATCCCCAGTTATTCTAGTTGGATAGCTGGTCCTTCTACTCTGACATCCAAGGCAGCAGAAACAGAAGTAGCTGTCGCTTTTCCCCATGTGCTATCACTTAGAATAAGTGACTGATACGATTTTGTGGAAGCACTCTAGACTTGGGATGTAGACCTTGTATTGAATCCTCCAGTTTTAACAACCGAAAGGCTGAGTGAATTTGTCTTTCATCTGGTTTTAAATCTGATCATCTGTGGATGTAGGGAATAGCAGGCATATTGCTGATCGATTTGGCCCAGCAGAACTACAACCCCCTGCTTATTGTTTTATTTCATTGCAGACAGCTGCCCTGTCACTTGCTGCACAGTGTATATTTTGGGATATTATTGCTGTCATGGATGGGATACAACAGGCACCTTGTAAGAGGAGTGATATTAAACCTGAAATATTGTCACTGGTGACAATAAGTGAAATCCTATTTTACAACTGAAAAATCAGAAACATCCTAACTTATGAAGGAGGGTTGTTCTGGCAAAACCCTTCTCTTGGTGTAATTATAGATGAAGGCTGAAATCCAGCTTGGTAGCAGCTGCTGACTGGCACTGTAGCCCTGCCTTACAGTTTGTGAGCAGTCACCGAACATATGCATATTCATAAGCAGTGTGTCAGGAGTGGTGATAAGAGGTTGAGAGAGACTCATTTAATAAAACCCAATCCACATTTACACCAGCCCAAGCATGGGACTGATTGCAACTGGAAGAACCCCAATGTGGGAGTGGAGGGAGAGCTGAAGTGGCATGACTTGGCATGGAGAATAACACTTCTGCATGCCACAAAGCGAATCCCAGAGCTCTACAGAGAGGTAATGTTAGCGTTGCAGTTAAAAAACACAGCTGCTTGTAAATAAATAGTAGTCAGATGAGGACTTTCAAAGGAATGAGTAAGCAAAAGACAGAGGTTATTGTCTGGTTCATGGAGCGAGCCCACGTAGGAAGGATGGAGCTGAAACAAGCCAGCAACAAATGTCTGTGTCATCTCCTGTGCAGGAGAAGTTGCCCTCATACAGTGGTAGCTGGCAATACGTGTTGTTAGCACAGCCCATGCACATGTGCTTGCTCAGGGCTGCTCTTTACACCAAGGTCCTGTAAAAATGGATCCCACAGATGAGTGCACTCCACTGTGTCAAAGCAAAAACTTGGGGCAGAGCCATCAACAAGTCCTCAAATCACACAAAACCATGGAGGTAGGAGCCTTCTGCTTCTAACAGACTTAGATCCTCAGAAAAGCATCTTCTTGTGGCTCTGATGGACAAAGTTTAGTGACAGGACTCAGTACATCAGGTTGATGGTTGAAGATTTTGAAGGTCTTTTCCAAGCTAGATGATTCTGTGATTATTTCTTGCCACTGGACAAGATCCTTGCACTCAGGAACATACTGTCAGCTTATATTTGCCATGGACATGAACCTTCAGAGACAGCATGTGGTGTTGCACACCTGCCCCATGAAATTTCAGCAAAGCCCTAACAAACACGTTCAATGCAACCTCTACACCCATATTCCCTGGGCACTTCATATTGCACATTCTCCCAGGCTTTTTTTTTTTTTTGAGGGCTGCTCTAGTGGTAAACAAGGAGAAGGCACGCAGGAACAGCCATGGCGTGGAGGTACCAGGCTGCCACATGGAGAAGCCAAACACACAGCTTGCACCCAGCAGCAGCTCCTCTTTATTCCCGTGGATATAGGAGCAGCACTTCGCTCTGGCTGGGGCCCCATTGCGCTGGGCTCTGTTTACACACATAACGAGGCAGTTTAGGAGGGACTCATCAGCCAGACGTAGCCATCTGTGACTGTCACCCTGAATTCCCTCTGCAATCAACAGCCATTTCCAGAGGGTAATTCCTCCCGAACTGAAGTAGCCAGCTAAATAACGAGGGATGAATCATGTTTTAAAATGCCTGTTTTTCTCCCTCTACGAAGGGGGCTCAGCAGTAGATGTCCACAATGCATTTCTTTACATGTATTAGAGATGAATCACATATTCAGATCCTTTCACAAGTGGTAAAATTGTGTGTAACAGCATTTGTGGTGGGCCATACAGTGAATAAGTGGCAGATGACTGTTTTGCTGCCTGTTCCCAAGGTACTAAATTCTTCCAAGGCTGCCTTTCTTCTTCCCAGGAAGTCTTTTCTATCCGAGCATCTCAAAACAAGCTCAGAGCATTAGCTTTCCAAAGCACAAATTGGGGCTAGCAAATTGATGCTGGTCTTGGGCAGGATGGCTGGGAGAGAGAATTGCTAAATGCCTGCTGGGGCTTTTAGCCAGAGCTTGGCGTGGGCAGCAAGCACTGCTAACACCTGGGCAATCCCCTCGCCTTGCTGATAAGGCTGGGGCTCCCTTTTATTGCATTCAAGTGGCACATTTTGAAGAGAAATGGCTATGTTAACTGCCTGGGATGTTCCTTTCTGATAAGTCCTTTTCAGAACTGCTTGGCAAATGGGTCCCTTTCCAGGCCACAAAGACATTTTCAAATATCCCCAGGCACTCGCTTGCTGCCTAAGAAGAAATCCACTGTCCCAGCCACATGCTTACCACCTCTAACATCACAGCAGCCCAGAGCTTTATTATGTACCAAAACAGGCACAAAAGTATCTTCTCTAGTGCAAGGGAATCAGAACTGGGGATAAGTCTTTGTATGAGGACAGTGTGGGATGATGAGAGCCTATTGAAGTAGAGGGGAAGAATTTTAATTTTTTTACATGTCTTTTTTATTGGTTTGCCCTGATTAGCCTAGCTAATTTTGGATCCTTTGAGCAGGAAAGAGCTCCTTGAGGCTCTTCAATATGTAAGTTTAAAGAATACAGAATTATCCACAGGACTACTTAGATTATATACATAAATAATTTTTCGCTTTCCTTATCACTTCTTAATAGCATCGCATGCAATCTGTGCTCAGAGTTGGCTATAAGTGGAAGAGAATTACCTCCTCCACAAGCAGCTATGGCTTGCTGTCTCTTCCTGCCCTTTTCAAAAGTATGCTTTCAGTCTGAAGAGTCCAGAAAAGTGTCAAAGCACAGTGCTGAGTCCTACCTCTTTGCAAATCAGTCGATGAGCTGCAATTCCCTTTCATCTTCATTTCAGAGCCTATGGAAGGTGCTGTTCTGTGCTTAGATTCCGGGACTTACTGTAGAAAAAAAAATAAATAAAAAAAAAATCACATCAAAGCTGTCATTCCCTTTGGCAAGTAATTGTATTATAGATGCATGAGGTGTGCTCTAAAGTCTCTCCCCATTTACTTCTCTATCTTCTGCCTGCCGCAGATTTCTCTGGTGCTCATTCGTAATGAATTCTGCTGTTTCATGGAAATGACCCACGCTGGGCTGCACCGGAATGGTGATGTCTCTTTGGATTACCATGGGGAAACTGCTAATGAGAGGTGGCAGGGCTATTATGGAGGCGAGCGGCTCTGGGGAAGAGCTGTGTTTCAGCTGAGCACACCTGGGATGCCCACGGCTGACAGCGATTGCATTATGCAATTAAAAAGCAAAGTTCAGAGAGCATCAAGCCACACTCAGATGTCTGTGAAACATCTCAAAGAGCCTCCTTCACATCCCATTTCTTGTGGTAAGGATACAGTTCAGGAGTGACATCCTTTTTCGCTCTTTGGTGTTCCCCAATTACAAACAGGATGCACAAAACCAAGTCCACTCTAACCAAGTACAATTCCTGCTAAACACTCTCAATGAGACTTAAATGTTCTATGCAATCAATAGGTTGTCCCAGTAACTCTTCATTTTAACTGGCCAAAAGTCATTGGCAATACTTAATACCTAGACTGGACTTAAAGAAGATGGGTCCTGTAGGGAACAGGGGGTGTTAGTATAGTTCAGTGGGGTGGGAGATCTTTCCTCTGTAGCATAAACTTGGATCTAAATCCAGGACCTGGAAGCCGAGCATAGATACAAGCAGACTAAAAATACCGCACAGACATAGGTTATTAGGATAAATAACCATGAGAATAGACTGCCTTTTCTATCAGCTCAGGTCTTTCTGAAAAAGCTAGGAGCATTTCACAGGATATATTGTTACAGGAGAACTCTCTGTTGGGTAGATATAAGAATTGTTGGGAGAATTTAATAACCTGTATCGTGAAGTAGGTCAGGCCAGAGTTTGCAAAAGTTAGGAGAGGCTGTTATGAAGTCAGCAAGTGTTTTCTAGCTTTGCAGTCTCTTCAGGCTGCATAGAAATGGTGGGCTCAGATATGAAGCCTATGATCTGTAAAGACGTTTTGAATGAACCATTTCAAAATGACCCTGCACTTTGCCAAGACCTCGTCTAGTGCAGATGAGATAAAATCCACCTCTTCTTTCATTAAAGTCAGGTCCACTTATTCTCTTGTTTTTGTTGTCTATTTTTTGTTTGTTTATTTGTTATAACATTTCACCAACACCCTGATTCAGCCTTACAGTGAACAAATTTACTTTTATTGGATTTTACAGCTGAGGGGATCTTTGGCTGTATATTTTCATACTTAAAAGGTTTTTCTGTTACAATTTGTGGAGAGCAAACAGTTCATTCAGTTGTCTAATACCATTTGAAATACCTCGGATATTTTGTTGTACTGCACCTACCTGTCAAGAAGGTTATGGATGACAAATAAGTTGACTCCCCACTCAACACAAAATACTTTTTTGCAAGGAAGGGACTCTCGTATGTAACTGCCAGCTCAGCTCCCATTAATTCCTCAACATGGGGTAAAAATTCTTATGTGAAGAGCTATTTACAGTGAGATAACATCACATAACCTAAAATCAAATCCAGTTTTATAACTGAGCTGTAAACAAAATTAATCTTTGAGAAAGTTTACTAGTTACCATAGGCATAAAGTGATAGAATATTATTTGGCAGACAAAAACAACCAAACAATTTTTTAGGAGGGGAAATCTGAAATTCAGGTTGGAAATGGAGTTCACACTGTTATTTTTGTTTTCTTCTGAGGCCTGACAAATTTATGAAGGCTGCAATAATAATAATTTGCTGTACCGATTTTCCTTTTACCAAACAGACCTTATCTTTCCATATGCATAAGATGCCAGCTGGAAGTGTGTGTTGGGTACTGACATACAAATTATTAGCACAACATGTATTTTTTTTTTGTTGTTTCCTTGAGAATGTCTATATCGAGCCTGGAACATAGTGTACTATTCCTGTTCACATTTATCTCATCAGTGCACTTACATGTTGACTGTGCTTCCCCCTCAAGAAAACCACATGCTGGAGATCCCAGGGCCATATTCTCACACTTTTTTTTTTTTTTTTAAATACAGACTTCACTCTTAAACATCTTTTTATACAATTTGTTAAATAATGATAATAATAAAAGATTCATTTGCTTAAATGTGAATATCAATTTTCTTCAAATACTGTTATTTAACTTGAAGTGCCTTTTTACTATGCGCTGTGGAAGATCTTCCTAAAAGGAGCTGAAAGCGAATGCATATCTAATGCTGTGTAAAACTCAGAAAATGAAAGGAGAAGCAACAACAGCTAGACTCAATTTTGATTTAAGATTCAGACAAAAAGAATATTTTGACTAACAACAAATGAATTTGTACCTCTTGGCTACTGCTTAATTACAGAGCTTCGGTGCCCTTCTTTTTGCCTACCCATTAGATAGAAAAACCTTTTGCAAAACATCTCTTAGTGTTTAATTAATTCTAATAGCCATCTGAGTCTGGCTATCTTGTATGAACAAAGCAAAACATCTATACGTATATCTACGTATATATCTATATATAGATAATTTTTTTTCATCTTAATCCAGATCTGCAGTCAGAATCAGAGACAGCAAGGCTCTGGTATGCATTTATGTTGCAATTTTATTCTCCAGAGGGTATGAGTGGGAAGGAGAGACAAAACAAGTAATTTTTCTTAACTATTTTCTCCTCTTCCCAAAAATCACCTTAAAAACTGCAGGAGTTCTTTAAGTCTTGTGCACTGAGCTGTTTGGTTTCTGCTAGCCTGTTTACTCACTGGAAAGTCATTTTGCTGTTTCTGGGTAACCTCCGTAAGCATCTCCAATAAAGTCTAAGTCTGTTTTTTGTTTATTTTCTCCCCTTCTCTTCCTTTTTGCCTTTTCATTCCAGCACGCTTTGTAGGTGAAAAGCACCGGAACTAATACATGCTCGGCCAAGGACCCAGGGCTTTCCCTTACAAGCCCCAGGTCAGCAATTATTCCTTTGAACTAGATACTGGCGGATAAAGCTGCACAAAAAAGCCAGCTTGTGGTGCAAAGTTGAATGATTCTGGGTCATACTCAAGGACAGCAAACCTGCTTCTTTTTGTTGCTTTTTACAGCCAGGGCTTTTCCTCAGATTTTGCTATGATACAATTCAGCCATCTGTGCTGTCTGCGACTGTCCTTCGCCTTACAGAAGGAGATGTCATTGCTGTTATTGCAGTGCCTTCCATAGCTCAGCACAAAATCAGGGCTCTCCTGGATTGGAAGATTTGTAATTAAAAGATCCTTTCTGCCCTACAGAGCCATCTGAATAGAAGAGATGAGGCAGGAAATGGAGACCTGGGAAATTAAATGGTTTGCCAAAGGTCCGAAAGCAACACTGCAGCAGAGCTGGCAAAGGAGAGGACCCCCTGAGGAACTCGGCTCAGCTCCTCCTGCAGTCATCCATAGGCATCCTCATGCTCAGAGGAGATTTGCCTGTTCCCTCTGCAGCTAGGAGGACCTCCTTTTCTTCCTGCACTGCTCTTTTTGCTGCTCTGAAGTTTTTTTGTTAGGACTTGCCCAACTTGTGGACATCCATGGTGCTCTCCCTGATAGGTTCTTGCTTCCCTGAGATTTATTCTTTTTGTTGAACAGTCCTGAAGGGAAGAGGGACAGCAATTATGGTTTCTAGGACTGGAGTAAGAACCTCTTTTTCCCCTCCAAGAAAAGGCATCCTGGTCTTCCATGTATCCTTTTCCTCTCCTGCTTGCCCTGTTCCACATGCATATATGCAATTAAATCCAGAGATGTTTTTTCATTAACACAGCTGAATTAATGTTGTCTATTTTCTCCTTTATCATTTTGATAAGCTCCATCTGTCCCAGGGGGAGGGAGGGAAGTTTTTAGAGTGTATTGATAGACTTCTAGATCCATATGAGAAAGAAAAGCAAAAAAAAGGCAGGAGAATTGTAAGGGGGGTTCAGCCACAGTACTGGGTACCACAGACAAGCTGGGTAATAGATTACTGACTGATGCTCTGTCTTTGCATGAGGCCATTAATCATGACTATTGCCTAGCTTGATTTATTTTTAAAGACTGCAGTAAGCAGGCAGTATCTGTGAGGGAAAGTATTCAAGCTTCACATATGTCAGGCGGAGAGAGCAGAGCGAGATGGGAACAGGCAGCAGACGGTGAGCTTCAAAGGAACAGACAAATAAAAGCCCCCTGCAGCATAGAATGCCTCAGAGACAAAATGGGAAGCCTGCAGCCTGCAATGATATTCAGAAAGGTTTTATTAGTAGCCTGCAAAAGTGCAAGCAGGAGAGCTGGGCTGGGATGTTTTAAAGGGATGTGGAGGAGAGTTTCAGACTATCCCAGGAAATTTTTAATCCCTGACAGAACTACAGGTTTGTTATGCTGTAGCTATGACTGTATTGGTTTTAACTGACAAGGAGAACATCTATTCACACTGGGTTTTGCACAGATTGAGGATGAGATGCTTGCAATCACCCTCCATTTTGTCATCTTCTATAGCCAGGTCTGGATATTAGGTATGCACGGTGCAACATCTTGAACTGTCTCCTGTTCACATGCCACATATAACTTGTATATAACTTCTTTGCTTGAATTGTGATATCTGAACTAGTTGAGCCAAAGACTAAAGAGCCTCCTAGCAAGGCTCTATTCCTATTGAAAGCCCATGAAGTCATAAAAGCTATAAAAACACAAGGTATCGTTATATATATTAGAGATATACGTGGAGGCCTGCTGAAAATAGAAGTCTCCTACCAACCAATATCATGTATTTATGTGATATATATATATATATAAAGAATATATATATTGGAGGTGCTGCATACGTATCTATATATATACACACATGCAGAAGCTTACCGTCTGAATAGCTGAAGGTAGAAGAAAAAGCAAGAGAAGCTTGAACAGGAAACAACTCTAGGAATGTGATTTCTGTCACCCAAGTTTAGCTGCTGAATTTAGCTGATGCCTTTCAAAAGTCCTTTAGGCAGTACCATGAGATGGGAGAAAGAGCCCTTTAGAGATGCTTTTCTCTCTCTGTAGTTCAATGAGGGAACATAAATGACTAATTTTACATTAAGTTGTTAACTTCTCAAGAAATATCAGCCTCTTCTTTATGAGTTCTTGAACTATCATTGTCTGTTACTCTCCACGTAGGCAGAGGGGAGAGAAACCAGTAGT